GGACGGGAATGGAGGTATGTGGGTAGATTCCGCAGGACGGGAGTGGAGGTGGGTAGATTCCGCAGGACGGGAATGGAGGTATGTGGGTAGATTCCTCAGGACGGGAATGGAGGTATGTGGGTAGATTCCGCAGGACGGGAGTGGAGGTATGTGGGTAGATTCCGCAGGGCGGGAGTGGAGGTGGGTAGATTCTGCAGGACGGGAGTGGAGGTATGTGGGTAGATTCCGCAGGACCAGAATGGAGGTATGTGGGTAGATTCCGCAGGACGGGAATGGCGGTATGTGGGTAGATTCCGCAGGATGGGAAGGGAGGTATGTGGGTAGATTCCGCAGGACGGGAAGGGAGGTATGTGGGTAGATTCCGCAGGACGGGAATGGAGGTATGTGGGTAGATTCCACAGGACGAGAATGGAGGTATGTGGGTAGATTCTGCAGGACGGGAATGGAGGTATGTGGGTAGATTCCGCAGGATAGGAATGCGGTGTTAAGGAGCTTGGGCTACTTCTGGTAGGCAATGGGAATCCATTGAAGGCTTTAAGGAGGGCAGCTATGATTGGTTTCTGTGTGAGAAAGACACATAGTAGCACTGTGCTGAGTAAGTTGGATGGCAACCAGAGTGAGGACAGGGAGACAGGATGTCATTGTGGTTAGCTCAGAGGGTTTAGTGGTGGGGTGGGAGCTGGTGAAAAAGGCAGGATTCAGTGTGGTCAGGAAGAGAGCACTCGGGGAAGAGTGGGCATGTTGGCCCTTGTTTTCAGAACCTCAACTCCTTGTCACCTCTGCCTTGCAGAGCTGTGAGACCTTCCCTTTCTTTCCATGGACACCAGCTCCTGCTCTGGTCACACTCTCATTAGAGTGGTTCCAGTAGGGCCACCTCCTCAGTATGATCAGGACGGACAGGCGGGGTCTTTGTAAAGTTAGCTTGGCAAGTTTATTGAAAACCCAGGAACTCAAAGAACAGTACAAACCGGCACCCACCCACCCCCAGCCACCCCTCCTGGGGTTTGCGGGCACAAACCCTGCTGCAGCAGCAGGGCACAGAGCTGGGCCTCATGTCACCACAGGACAAGGCACTTGGGGTGGAAAAGCCACCTCTCCATGTGCATTCCACCTGCTCGGCGGACTCACATATCGCAGACCAACCAACAACCATGAGAGAAATGACGAGGAGGAGCCACTGGTCGGAGAACCATCACGGGGACTCAGGGATCCCTGTGGTCACCAAGGACTGTGTCCTTTGGAGCCAGGGAAGGGAGAAAGAAGCCTCTTCTGCCAGGGGAGGGGAGAGGGAGGAACAGGAAGTGGCAGGCTCAGGATGCCCGTGGACCCCAGGGATCTGTGCTCATGCTTCTCGGGACGGCCTCTTCCTCCCCAGGTGCTCTGGTCTCTGTGGCTGTGCTGAAAATACATTTCCTGTCGCTGCAGGCTGAGAAGGGGGTCCGAAGGAGAGAATCTGGGAGTCAGGGAGAAGCGAGTGACACCGGGCCTGTGGACGGGGCTGCCACGGCAACGAGAAGTCCTGCGGGAAGACCCGGGCTAGGGCTGTGTACTGGCAGGAGGAGTGGCTGGAGATCCCTCGGAACCAGAGACTGTGCACCTCAGGGGAGAGAAGCAGGGGACGCTCAGCTGGTTCTTCTGCAGGCAGTGACCATCCGGGGCCAGGTGCTTAGTACCTGGTCCTGCGAGAGGTAGTGGTGGTTGAGAAGCGGACGCTGGAGCTGCGGTTGCCACGGCCACCACTGCAGCTGCTGAAACCACCCTCAGTGGGCAGTGGGCAGGGGATGCTGGGGGCGCAGGCATCACCCACCAGCACCGAGCCTCCTCTGGTCCCCGAGCTCAGCGGGTCCCCACCAGCCCTCAGGCTTGAGGAAGTCAGAACCCGTCCAGTGGTACGGGTGCTGCTGCTGCTGCTGCTGGAGAAGGTGACCCCACCATTGCGGGAAAGGCCAGATCCAGAGACCCAGGACTCGGGGCCACACAGCACACCTCCTCGAGAGCTGCTCACAGCTGTGAAGAAGAAAGGAAGGCGATGCTGACTCTCGTCTGAGTGGCTGAAAGGCCGAGACTACATGAAAAGCAGCCATCTCGATGCGAGTGGGAGGATGCTGACCGAACCCCTGGGCATGCGCCCATAGATCGACTGCCGTTAATGTCTACAAACTACTATTTATCTGTGTCCCATGTCAGGTGGAATTGAGAGGCCAAGAGAGACGTGTCATCCAGGGAGCCGTGGCCTTCTTAGAACCGCAGGGTGGTTCCTCTGTGGTTATATTGTGTCTCTTGCTTGTTCCCATGTATCTGCCAGACGAGAAATCCCGCCAGCACCATTTCCCGGCCAGCCATTTCTGCCCCCACGGTTGACTCTGCTCTTCAGCCCCACTGGGCTCCATTGGACACAGCCCATGCCTCAGGACTGGGATCCTTGCTTAAAGCAGCCCTGCCTGCAAGCCTGACACTCTCCTCTCTGTCTTTGCATCAGGGTCTGTGCTGCCCCCCCCCGCCCCCCCCCTACCATGACCTCTGGGCTTGGCTTTCTGCAGAGGAGCATTGCTGCGCCCTTGCCTTCCAGCAAATCAGGGCTCTTCTCTGAGAGTAAGGCTGGTGTGCTCTGTCTGCTCCCCCACATACACCGCAGGTGTCCTTCCGGGATTAGCGTGGCCCTGGCTAGTTCTCCCCTTCTCAGGAAGACTGGAGTTCCACAGAGCAGGGCCTCTCCTGCCCTGCAGGGCCAGTGAAGCAGCACACTTGCTTTGGGAACAGCCCATCCTCGATGTAGAAGCAGCAGGAGGTTAGGGGAGAGGGGACAGCTTGCGTTGAGCATGGCCCCAGACAGGGGTCACCTCTTTGACATAGCCTTCCCATTCCTGCTAAGGCTCTGTGATGGTGGAAGCCGAAAGTCTCTTTCCAGGAAGCGTTTCCCGCTTAAACCGCTGTCTACTCTTTGCTCCCAGAGCCTCTGCTAAGGGCATGCTCCCAGTCCAGGGACCCCGATGGTCTGTCTGCTCCCCTGACCGTCTTGGCCAGACCAGCTCTCTCAGAAGCTTCCTTAAGAAATGGTCCGAGAAAAGGCTAGATACTTACATATGTTTACTGGCCCAACACCTTCACAGATCCTGCAGAGAGAAAGAAACGAGAGAGTTCACAGGAGCTATGAACCTGCTTGCCCTCAAAGGGCTTCCTGTCTGGGTAATAGCCGACTGGTGAGTCTCACCTCCAACTGTTAGTGCATTTTGAAATACACCATGTTTCTAGAGATTGCTTCTAAATTGTTGAACTAAACTATTTGATGACCTATTATTATTTTAACCAATTAATCAGCCAGACAAAACACCTATGACCTGGTGCAGCTCGCTTGTAAGCACATTCGGCAGCACAGCATCTTCTTAATCCTGTGTCAAGGGCAACCGACTAATATTTTGGGAAAATGTATTGTTCTCTCTAGAGATTGCTCACTCCAGGTTTCTTCACCTGGCTCTCCTCCCTTACTTTGATAATCTTTCCGGATGTCTGACCTCACTCCTTCCTGCTCTCACCGGATTTCCTCGCCTTCCAGCAGCTGCCTGTAGGTGGCGATCTCGATGTCCAGGCCCAGCTTGGCGTTCATGAGCTCCTGGTACTCGCGAAGCTGCCGGGCCATGTCCTGCTTGGCCTGCTGCAGGGCGCCCTCCAGATCTGCCAGCTTGCACTTGGCGTCATTGAGGGCCGCTTCGCCCTGCTGCTCTGCCTCAGCCACGGCAGCCTCCAGCTTGGAACACTGCAGGGAAGGGAGTCTGCATGTGGGCTTTGCTAGGGACCCAGGGTTCCCCGGCGGGGTTGGCAACACCGCCCTTATGGATAGGGTGAAACGTGGTGCCAGGCCTGCATTGGAGCTCTAGGCGGCTGCTTTTCCAGGGATGGTGACTGTGGTCAGCAGGGGGTGGAGAATTGCTTCTCCCCCTCTCCATCCCCATTGGGTTTCCACTGCCTGGAGACAGACCTAAGGATTCCAGAGTCTTCTACTCCTTCTGCCTCCCCTACCCAGGCCTTCCTTCTGGTCCATATCTCTCTTCTCCTGGAAGTTTTTCTGTACAGCCCTCTGGTTTGCGTCAAGGTCTTGGTAGGTCTTTATCTCACCAGACTCGGGGCTGCTCAAAGCCAGGGACCCTGCCTCGCCCTCTCTAGCTTTCTCTCCTTCCCTTTCCCACCTGGGCCTTGGAATGCTCGAGCTCTGTCTTCAGCCTCTGGATCAGCCGGGTCAGCTCATTGATCTCATCCCGTGTGTTCCGCAGATTGTCACAGTGTTGGCCAGCTGTCACCCGCATCTCCTCATACTAGGGGCAAAATGCAGTGTTTTGACCACATGCAGGCAGTCTGGGTTGAAGACCTCAGACCGCAGTCGTCGCCCGAGGGTACCTGCCCCCCTCCCCTAGTCTCCCGTTGCCTCGGTCTGGTACCTTGGTCTGGTACCAGGCCTCAACATCAGCGCGGCTGCGCCTCGCCACCTCCTCATACTGGGCCTTGACGTCAGCTATGATCCCGTCCAGGTTCAGGTCCCGGCTGTTGTCCATCTTCACAATGACAGATGTCTCTGAGATGTGTGACTGCAGCAACTGGATTTCCTGCATTGGAGAAGCGGCAAGGCAGAGGGGCTCAGTGGCCCGTCAGCAGCTGGGACTCTGTCATAGGGCCCCTGTGAACCAGACACAGGGAGCATTGCTTCTTGCTTTATGACATTGCAGGAAGACTCCTCTCCCCCATCCAGCCTGGAGCTCGGGGGGAAGGCATGCTTGAGAAGCAATTGAGTCTGACTTTAGAACCCTTGCCATATGCTTAGAGCATGCCTCCAGTTGCTTGCTCTGGCTCAGGTGCCTGTCTAAACCAGGGGACCTCAGGTGACCAATGACAGATGTAGATAAACAGTTCACGTTTATCTACCCACGAGGTGGCCAGGCTGGTCCACTGAGAGGTAGCAATATTTTAAAATATAGCAGAGCCTAGAGAGTCCTAGGTGCAGAATCTTCAGAGAACCAGGGTCTCCACCCTGGTGAGACCTTCCTCTGCAGCTCTGACTGACTCCTCTTCAGCCTACACAGGCTGCTTGGAAGCAAATAGCATTTGTTTGGCTAGTTAAATCAGGTGCCCTTCTTTTCTTCTGGCAAATCATTTTGCCAGGCATTCTAAAACCCAGCCTTTAGCTTGGCCAATGAAGGTATGGATCACAGATGACAGGAGGTCATTGTCAGGCCTAACGTGGCTGTGGAGATGCCCTGTGAAGTTCCTGGCCTTCCTCACCCCCAGAAAGGGTGACAGAGAGCACACAGGTCTGAGTGGGGGTGGAACTGGATGTATGAAACCAGCATCCAGAAACCCGAAGGCCTGACTCAGCCCCCAGGGCGTGCAGGATGAGCAGTCTCAGCCTTGAATGCCTAGAGAAGAAGGGCCTCACCTCCATGTACAGAGCCTTCAGGAATTCAATTTCCTGGGCCAGGGCGTCCACATTGGCTTCCAGATCTGATTTATTCAGGAAAGCTGTGTCTACATCCTGCATAGGAAAGAGGGATGAGCTCACTGCCTTTGCTGTTCACCCTTCCTACCTAGAGGTCGGGAGATGGGCAGGGGGATCCCTCAGTTCCTACTGTGATGGTCCCTCTTCCCCTATTGCAGTGTGGAAACCCATGTGAGCTGGACCTTATTCGGTGATTACTGAAAGGCAAAGGAAAAGGGGCCGCAGAGATGACATGGAGCCTGAAGACCTGAGTTCAATCCTTGGGTCCCACATGGTGGGAGGAGAGAACTGATCCTCTCAAGTTGTTCACACACACACCATGGTATACGTGTGCCCTTCCTGTGCACACCAAAGACATGGACTTTTTTTTTTCAGATAAAAGTAAAGAAAACCTTGGTAATTCAAGACACTTAAGAGTCCATCTTTTTCAAACTCACAGCACCCAAACTCAAATAATCTGTGGTCCAATCAGAACTTTGAAGGGAACCTGATGTAGTCTTTGGGATTTGGGGTTCTGCTGTTTGGGTGAGCCGTTTCAGCCACCACAGGGCTGCCTGGGAAGTTGCTGGGGCTGGGGGGCTGCGGTTCTGGAGAACACGGTGCCTCCACATAGAACTTTCCTTGGACTCCTTGCGATCTATGCCTTACCTTCTTCAGAGCTACAAACTCGTTCTCGGCGTTGGCTCGGCACCCCACCTCCTCTTCATACCTGGGAGCACGGAGATGAAGAGGGTGAACCCTCACTTGAGTTATCCCCAAGCCCTCACTAATCCCTCAACATGATCCTGGTTTTTTGAGGAACACGGTTCTCTATTGCCACCCACAGATTAGCATAGCTCAGTCCCCTCTAAGCTAATAACCCTCCAAATCCTTTACTTTCTCAACTTGGATTTAGGGTCTGAAAATCTGGACCGTTCCCACACTTCTCTGTGAGAAACGACTCAGGGTCATTGCAGCCGAGCGCAGAGGACGTAGGACCCGACACAGCGCTGAGTGCGGGTACTCCTTTCAAAACTAAAGACTTCCCAATTTATTCATTCCTACTGGCAGTGCTAAGGACAGGCCCCTCCCCCGCACTCCTTCTTCCTCAGGAGGGCCTCTTTATCCCACTTCTCACATTGCTGTCCCCCACTCATCCTGGAGCTAGGTTTCATAGATAATAACACTCTTGTGTCATCTGCACTGGTCTGCTGCTTCTGGAAATATGGGGCCCAGGTGTGGGCAGCCCGGGTTTACTCACTTCTTCTTGAAGCCCTCAAGGACGTCCTGCATGTGGTTCCTCTCAGCTTGCAGCCGAGCCTGGTCACCGACCAGCACATCCAGCTGCCTCCTCAGGCTGGTGATATAGTTATCGAAGAGGGGGTCCAGGTTGCTCCGGGCACATTTCTGATCTTGGAGGAAGCTCCACTTGGTCTCTAGCAGTTTATTCTGTTGCTCCAGGAACCTCACCTACATCCAGGAGGCAAAGGCAACACGTTAAAGGGCTTGGCGGTGCAGCCGCGTCGGCCAGTTCTTCAGATGGCCAGTGAAGACCCTGCCGTGTATGAGTCTCTCCCTGCGGCCATCATGCCTCTAACTCATCAGAAGCCGGGAAGGCAGGGCCACGGCCCCCTCTCTCCTCACACCCAGTGAGGCTTTGCTGCCAACAAAGACATTTCAGTATCGTTTCTCCCTTCTGCACCCGTCATGGGGAAGTTTGAAGGATGGGGATTCTGCTGGCCTTGCTTGTGTCTGAGAATAGATATCAGCCACCCCAGCAGAGTACACAGAGCAGTGGCGGTACACTGGGGGGTCACTGCGGTACGCGGAGGCGGCTACCTGGGACTGTACACCATGATCAGCATCTCCGATACTCTATCAGCCGAGTGCAAAATGAGCTTACAGAGATTCTTTCCCAGAGACCAAGCCTCATCCCCGTGTGGACACGGCCAACTGGGTAACCGCTTTTGGAATATTCACACCATTATCTCTCTGTATCAGCTATTGGTGGCCATCTGTATTTCCCTCAATCTCAACCACATCTTGGTAGCCTCTGCTGGGTGTATGAATTCTTTGTCTTTTACATGAAAATCACTCTGCTCTCTGCTCTCTCCTGAGGCTGAATGACTGGGGCCATCTGTCTCAGGAACTACGAAAATCTCCTTTGGAAACACCGTGATCTTAAAGGATGAAATATTTTAAGCATGAGTCAATCAAACACCTGGCTGAAGTCTCCACCTGTGTAGGAGACATTTCTAAGTAACCAAGAAACAGGGCTTGGTTTTCCCGTATGCGCGTAGATTTGGCTGGATCACCTTTCTTTTCTCCAGAAACTGTGGCCAGCGTCTTAGTCTGTCTCACCACGCAGCAGTTCCTCTGGTTTGTTTGTTTTCAGTGCAGAACAATCTGCAAGTCATCCATCCCTCAATGCCTCTGGCAGATGCCTTAAGTACTTGGTCAGAGCCATGGCTCAAACCCTGGTCAGCTCTTTTGACATGGAAGAGCACCCTAGGACCCTTTACTCTCAGGGCCTATCCCAGGGGTCAGCCAGCAAGGTACCTTGTCGATGAAGGAGGCAAACTTGTTGTTGAGGCACTTGATCTGTTCCTTCTCATCTTTCTTCACCCTCTGGGCATTGGGGTCGATCTCCAGGTTGAGGGGAGTCAGCAGGCTCTGGTTAACTGTCACAGCTGTGATAGAGGGGGCTGATGGACCTCCAATCCCTCCAATTCTGTAGCCAAAGCCAGGACCGCCAAAGCCAGGGCCACCGAAACCATAGCCAAGGCCACTGCCAGCTCCAAACCCCAGGCCAACACAACTGCTGGCCCGAAAGCCTAGACCAACTCCATTCCCATCACCGGAGCCAAAGGCCATTCCATTGCCAGCTCCAAAGCCAACTCCATAGCGGATAGGACGGGAGCACCCAACTGCTATCCGAGGTGAGGATGATCCAAAGTTGATGACGCTCCGACTACCAAAGCCACCCAAGCCACGGAAGCCAGACCCGCTCCTGCAGGAGACAGAGCTGGCCCGGAAGCGGTTCAGATTCTGAGGCACCATTGCTGAGCAAGAACTGAAACTGCCCACTCGATGGCCAGAGCTGACTCGGTAGGAGCGGCAAGACATGGTGGCTCTGTGGATGGCAGCTGAGGAGCAATGTGGAGTGGGGTGAGCTGGAGCTGGGAGTCTCTGTGAAGCTAGTGGATCCCTCACCCCTTTTATGTGTGTGTGGACATGAGGATTGGCCTCATAAAAACGAAAAAAGCCATTTAAAGGCATTTATGAGCTTGGGTAGTTAGCAGAAACTCATGTCTGCAACGTCCTTCACAGTGAACTAATTCAGGCACACCTATTCTCATCAGGATGCGGGCTGGAGCAGGCAACCTATAAACATTAAAAACATATAAGCACATAAACATTATAGTCTTATTTTCCCCTATAAGTCCACCACAATTGCCATTATGGGGACATTAATTTGCTTTGCTCATAAATCCAAAGGCTTTTTCTCCTCACTCTAAGTGTGGCTAACCACCAGAGAGTTAGAATACTAACAGTTCCAGCCAGAGGCTCTGGAGGAATGTGGATATCCAGAGCTAATTCTCTCAAGGCAGGAGGGGCTGTGTCTAGGAGACAGGGTATACACAGCTCTAAGGAAGAAATCCTGCAGAGAGAAAACAGCTTGATGCTTCTCTGCAGATAGACTCAGTGCTCAGAGGCCCTTTGCAGGTCCTATCTACTCTTCATGGTTGGGTTGTTTACAGGGGCTGATTCTATAGCAGGGCTCCTTGGGCTGATGGGGACCCATTTCTGATTTGAGACTCTCGGAAGACCTTTATTCTTCATTGTCTACGTTGTCCCAGATAGTGTGTGTCAAGTTATCCACGTGACTTGGAGCCTCCACCTTCTACCCTCAGGTGTACCCTGGAGCTGAGTTACAGCCCTATCCTCACAGGTTCCCGGAATCATTCGTAATTCTCTGGTTGGCTTACAGAGACAGGGATGTAAGCACCGGATACAAAATGAAGCTGCCTAAGCCAGTGGAGATGATCACAGTTGGCAATATTATAGATATTCAGGACTCCAAGCTCCTGCTCGCCTTTACATTCTAGCGCATGGCCTTGTTTTATGCTTGGGGACACATATGTTTGCTTGAATGCTTGGGGCATATTTATTATAGATATACATATTGATATGCGTATGTATCATATACATGTATGGTATATATATATATATATATATATGTACATATATACACACCAAGTTACATCAATGCTTTTTCTATGAGAAACTTCCTCAGGCAAGCATTATTTTTTTCTGTCAGCTGTTTGTCTAAAGAGGGAGAAGGAAATGAACAATGGGAGAATGCTTCCAGTAAGGATCACCAGTGGCCTCTGTTGCTGACCCCCGTGGTCTCCTCAGCCCTCACTCTCCTTGACCCATCAACAGTGTCTTGACACAGTCCGCACACCTTTACCTTCCAAACACGGCCTTCTTTTCACTCCAGACACTGTGTTCTCCCACGGGAGACTCGGGCCTTTAAATACTCTGCCTGTCAGTGAGCACCAATGTGTAGTTGCACCTCAGACTGACCCTACACTCTGTGTCCTCTTTAAGATTTATTTAATTTTTCATATGAACCTGTGTGTGTATCTCTGTGTGGAAGGTGTGTGCGTGGGAGTTCAGGGACCCAGGAAGGTCGGAAGAGGATGCTGGAGTTATAATGAGTTTTGAGCTCAGTGTGTGTAGTAGGGATGGAACTTGGGTCTTCTAGATGAGCACTGCATACTCTGAACCACTGCGCCATCTCTCCAGATCCCCAAGCATGTATTTTAATCAATATCCACATTTAGATATCAAATAGGCACCTCAAGCAATGCATCCCTTCCCCTGAATCTTTCTGCTTCATGTTTCTTCCTTGCCAGGCTCACTGTCTCTGCAATAGCTCACGTGATAAGTCTTGGGATCATCCTTTTCTCTGTGTTTCAGCATTTCACTCCATCCACCACACACCTACCTTCACAAGATCTGGACCCCACATGTGTCTTACTATACCACGCTGCCCTGCCAGCTGGAGCCCATTGCTTGCGCCTCCTCCTTGGGTCTACTGACTCATGCTCCTGGGAGGTCTCTGGCTTTTATCTCTTCAGATCATTCTCAACACCATGGTCAAGGGGTCTTTCAAAGACCTGTTCAGGCAAGCCATGACTTGGCTGAGGACCTTCAGAGCCAATGCCTCTCTGCAGTGACTCTGCCGTCCCTTTGCTGATCGTACTTGCCTCCACTGTCCCATCGCCCACTCTGCCCCAGCCTCTCCTGCTTGTCCACCACTCAGGAGGGACTCTCTTGCTGCAGACATTTCGCTTGCTGTTTCTGGGTTTGTTGGTTCGTTTACAAGCCAAGGTTTCTCTGTGTAACAGCCCTGGGTGTCTTGGAACTCACTCTGTAGACCAGGCTGGCCTTGAACTCAGAGATCTGCCTGCCTCTGCCTCCTGAGTGCTGGGACTAATGGTGTGTGCCACCACACCTGGGCTTTACTTGCTGTTTTTACCACTCAGGCTGTTTAACCTCTAACAGCTCTGTCAGCTCTCTCAGGTCTTTGTTCATATGCCACTTTCTCACCCACTTTTGGGGTTCCCTCTCCTCCTCAGCTGCTTCCTCCTCTCCTGGGCACCCATTACCACCCGAGGCACACTCTCTTGCACAGGCTTGTCTTCTGTCATCTCTCTACCCTGGAGGGAGACCTAGCTCTAGGCAGCGACACTGTGACATGTCCCCCGCACTGGATGCTGGGAGGGTATAGGTAGGCATGCTGTTGGGTTTTGTTGAATGAGTGAATGCATTTCAAGGGTTAAAAGCAGAAAGACAAAGTGGAGAAAGGAGAGGGGGAACATTTGGGCACTTGGCTGTGCAGGTATTTTAGGAAGAGGAGCCTCCGGGCACCAGTGTGGACAGACGTGGCCCTGGAGACAGCAGGGGCACAGAAATGTGAGTGATCACAGGACGGATCCAGACGTTTCTCCAGCTTCTGGCTCTTGGGGGTTGAGTTTGCCTGCTTGGAGGAAAGGGATCGGCACGTCTCTAGGGCCAGGCAAAGAGAATGGGAAGGGGACAAGAGAACTGCGGTGGAGGTGGGCTGGGAGGAGCCAGAGGGGTGGCAGGAAGAACAGCAGGGATCGAGGGAGGCTTGAGTCAGGCAGAGTCGGGGGACTGGGTTAATCTCACTTTCACCACTCTGCAGCAGCGTGGCCTTGCCCAGTGCGTTCTGGGGCAGGCAGGGGCAGTCACAGAAGTGCTTGTGTGCAGAGAACTGAACAACGGTGGCACTGCCAATTAAAACCCCTGCTCCAACGCCACCACACCCTCGCCCTTCTAAACAGCGTTGGTCGTCAGCAGCACCCTGGCCCACGGGTTGCCCGTGACCTCCAGGGGCCTGGGTAGCCTGTCCGAGTCCAGTTTCCTCATACTTGCTCTTGGTGTCAGCCCTCCGGCTCAATCCTCCCTCTACTTCTGAGCAGCCCCCACCCCGGGTCTGTACTGTACCCCACACTCCCATGGCAAGATGCCGGTCGCCCCATTAGGCATTCCCGGGCCTCCTTGCACCCTGTGCAGGAAGGTGGGAGGGAGTGACCCGGGCCAGTCGAGCATAGCCCAGTCACCATCAGCACTTTATAGTTCTGGGACGTTATTTCGCCAGATGATGCATAAGACAGTCCTGAGCGGTGTTCTCGGGGAGGGCGGGGTGTGTGTGTGTGTGAAGGCGGAAGGAGGAGTCGCCCTGACAGCTCTGGGCTGGAGGTTTTGCTGCTGCGACAGTTTCTTTTGTCAGGAAGCCTGGGTGTGATCCCGGAGACCTGCCTCTCCTCAGCGCTGTGACTGAGCCCCCACTGCTGGGTCATCATGATGCTATCTGTGGCATGGGAGGAGAGGGGAACCCCCTCCTAGCTAGCCAAGCAAGGTCCAGGAACCCTGGGTAGGCCTGGCTGGGTCTGTGGGTGTGTGTGGGAAGGGCAGGAGGGGAAAGCCCAGATACTGAGGAAGCTTTGCCCAACTCCACCTTCTTCAAAGTGCTTCCTGTTCGCCTGGGCATGAGTTTGTGCTGCTCTGGCTGGGAGGCTCTCATGTTGAGACCTGCCCCTGCCGGGAAAGCAAGATCTGGAGTGGTGCCCCCCCCCCACTCCCCCTGCAGAAAGTGGCTGGGTGGCTTGGAGGTGTAAGTCCATTGTCCAGCACATTCCTGTCTGTGTCTTCTCAGACTGAGGACCCACAGGTTTACCATAGAGGAGATAACATTGGGCAACATCCCCTACTCACCAGAGGGATACATTTTTTTTTTTTTTCAGGTTGGATTCAAATTTCTTGCCTACTCAGCATAACCTGCCCAGAGTGAAAATGTTGCTCCTGGCAGGTGTGGCGCTCAGACGGCTTCCACAGAGCCGCACCGTGTTTTCGGTGTGTGTGCTGACAGCAGTCACCCTGGCTGGCACCTGCGCTCGATTCTGGTGACCCAGCTTCCCTTCCTCCCCTCCCCTCCCCTCCCCTCCC